GCATGCAAGGCAAGCGCTCTACCACTGAGCCACCTTCCCAGCCCCTTACCTTCCATTCTGAAATTAATGTACGTGTTATGAAGATTTTATAAATTCTATTAAGTGCCAAGAATTAGAACAAAGATAAAATTTGGTTTCTAGTCTCAAATGGAGACCAAGTTAAGTCATTGCACTATGGGCATCCAGGGGATGAAGGTCCGTCTAAGAGGGCAGCTTTACCAGTCCTGAGATTTGATGTGTATATCTTAGACGAATACCAAAATTCTGTTAATGGCTAAGTGGAAAAAGAATGTGTTCTCTAGATAGAACATAATATCAAAGGTATGATCAGCACTGAATGGCAATGGTTGGAGAAGGTGCATTGAGGAGAGCAGGCTTATTCGGGTGGAGAAGAGAGGCACTCACAAGGTCACCTTAGCTGTAGGCAGTAGAGGAAGTCAACAGAGCTGTCCAGCTAGGATGGGAGCCAGTCAGAAAGTGACTGGAGTCATCCACGGTCCGCAGATGGCAGGTTAGAATGAAGAGTGAAGTTACACCTGCAATGAACTTAAGAACCTGTAAGAGGTGACGAAAGCCGGTGATTTCTTCAGCAAGTTGTAAAATGCAGTTGTAGATAGGTGTCAGACCAGTCAGTGGATGATACTGTGGATATATTGGCCGATGACAAAGAGAACAAGAGCTTTATTTGGAGAGAAGCTTGTGAGGGAGAGGGAGCGAGCAGTGGAAGGCGGAGTCCAGCCGTCTGCACAGTGTCCATGGCATCTGACCCTATATGGGGGCGCGGGGGTCTCCGCAGACAGTCACGCTCCATGTTGGCTACAGCCTTACCACACAGCGAACACTGGAAGCAAAATGAGTGAAGGGCAAAGGTGCACTGGGCTCGTTCCAGAGGAAAGCAGACACAAGCTTCTGGAATTCTTTCCCCTTGGAGTCACATGGGACACCATTCCTCCAGAAACAGGCTGTGATGACACAGGTGAAATGTCTTCCACACAAGCTCTTTAGAGACTTGAGTGAAAGGTTTCATTTGAGGCACTGCTTGGCATATTTATTCCAAGATACAGACTCCAGAAGAGAGCCAGTGTTGAGAATAAGCCATGTAGGACTTGATAGTTCGCTGTTAACATCTACTCCAACCTCCTTCTGTTACCACCTTTTCTGACCACTTGTAGTTCATGGTTAGTTCACCTTCCCCGAGAGGCAGAAGTCATGGCGGGACTGATACAGAAAGACCTGTGGGGAAATGCCTGTGAGGAAAGGGAAGGGCCGAGTTAGAGCCAGAGCCTCGGGGAGTGAGCGCAGTGCCAAGAACATCCGGCGAGGTCAGTGGGAAAGCCGGACGCCCGCGCCTCCCACCATGTCCTGAATCTGAAAAAAGGGCCAGTCACAGTATTCCCACCACCCTTGGTGACTGACCAAGCGTGCACAGTGCACAGTGCCTGCGGATGGGACAGAGTCAGAATCTCCCCTGTGTTCTATGCTGGAAGCAGCTGATGCTCTGCTCCAGAGAGTGGGTCAGCTGTAAGGAAGTCCAAAGTAGAACCTTTAGTGAACATGCATTCCAGTTTGAAAGAAAAGATCCAGGTAAGAAGATTGAGAAAGAAAAGGCTTAAGGCAAACATTATGGAGCCTTTCTTTTTTTCTTTTCCTTTTTTTGGCCAGGCCTGGGGCTTGAACTCAGGGCCTGGGCAACTGTCCCTGAGCTTCTTTTGCTCCAGGCTAGTGCTCTACCACTTGAGCCACAGCACCATTTTGTCTTTTTCTGTTTATGTGACACTAAGGAATCAAACCCAGGGCTTCATGCATACTAGGCAAGCACTCTACCACTAAGCCACATTCCCAGCCCATGCTGATAGCCTTCTGATGCTTAGTCTTAGGCATTCAGAGGACCAATGACTAAAGATCTTAGGAATACACTGCCTTTCAGGACAGCACAGAATCTTTCCAAATGAGAAGTCATGACACTTGTCTCCATAACGAATGGAGAAGCCAATGACACCTCCTTGCTTGTTAATTTCCCAGGATTCAGCATTCTTCTGGCAGAGGTGCACAACGAACAGAGAAGGAGAGAAGAGAGATTAGAGTATGGATGAAAAGAAAACAAAAAGAAAGAATGGCAGAATACTTGAATCAGCTGGCCCAAAAGAGGGGACAGGAACATGATCCTTTCTGCCCCAGAGGCAATCCAGTAAGTGTGCAGAATCTAGAGTAATGAATTGTCACACCATGTATGTTGTACTTTTCTCCTGGCAAATAGTCAAGAAAGATGAACATAATTTGAATGTAAATTTTAATTGTGGGATTGGAAAGTTAACATTTTACTTAAGTTAGGAAAAGTTAAGCAACTACCTCCACGTAGTGTGTACCATGTATCTGAGTGTGGGTTTTTAGCTGTTTATAAACTGTTAGCATTTATTTACTGAGCCTGACTATGAACATTTTTTTTGTTGTTTTTTTGGGTCCGGTTGTGGAGCCTGAACTCTGGGCCTGGGCACTGTCCCTCAGCTCTTCAGCTCAAGGCTAGCGCTCTACCACTTGAGCCACAGTGCCATTTCCGGCTTTTTTTGTTTTGCTTATGTGGTGCTGAGGAATCGAACCCAGGGCCTCTGGCATGCAAAGCAAGCGCTCTACCTCTGAGCCACCTTCCCAGCCCGAATATGAACATTTTTATGGCCAGATCAGATATATTTTTTTCTTTAAAAGGTTAAACAAGCTGGTGGTTCATGCCTGTAATCTTTGCTACTTAGGAGGCTGAGGTCTGAGGATCATAGTTCAAAGCCAGCCCAAGTAGGAAAGTCTATGAGACTCTTACCTCCAGTTAGCCACCAGAAAACTGGAAGTAGAACTGTGGCTGAATGTGGTGGAGCACTAGCCTTGAGAGAAAAAGCTTAGGGATAGCACCTGGGCCCTGAGTTCAAGTCTCACAACTAACAAAAAATAGTTAAACAATGGGTTCAACCTCTAGTATCACAAGAAAAATAAAATAAATTACAAGTCAAAGGGTGAAACAAAGTAGCATTACTTTGATGGTCATATCATTATGTTTAGATGATAATCAAAGTTTATGACTTTGTAATCTGAAGTAAAATGTTAATAGCACCTGATTTTTAAGGCAACATTAGGAATAAATTCTGTGAGCTTCTGTATAAGCTGGTTTTATTTCAGTTGCTCATGGCACAGGAAAGTAGGTGAACTGTCATTTAAAGTGTGTCTCTGGACGGAGCCGTCTGGTGTCCCATTACATTTTCTTCATACCTCTGGGCCACTGAGTGCGGATGTAGTCGGATGTCGTACCCTGCAGTGGGGACGCACTTGTGCGAATACTTGTTTTGTTTTTGAGATACTAGTAAAGTGCATTTTGTATTACACGTATTAAACTGGCCCTTATTTTAATTAAGTGATGCTCTAACGTAACTGCATTTGGCCTTGTTTCCTAAATAGAAGAATTCTGGGTACTGAATGCGCTGGTTGTTTCTTGCAGTTTTTCCTGACCTCCAGGGAAATCAGGCAGAGACAGAAGATGAAGCACGATAAGGACAGGTAGGGAGGCGGCCTCGGCCGGGGACCCCCCCCCCCCCACACACACACACATGCCGCCGCTTGCTTTCCCATGTCTGCACCCTTCCGTTTGGGGACTTGGATGAACGCTGCTGCTGTTCCCTCGGGACACCTCGGAGCGGGCGGAGCCTGGGCAATGCACACCCTGTCCTGCGAGGGGCAGCCGGGGCAGGCCGGAGCAATGCACACTCTGTCCGGCGCGGGGCAGCCGGGGCAGGCGGGGCAATGCACATCCTGTCCTGCGCGGGGCAGGCCGGGGCAATGCACACACTGTCCTGCGCGGGGCAGGCCAGGGCAATGCACACCCTGTCCGGCGCGGGGCAGGCCGGGGCAGGCCGGGGCAATGCACACCCTGTCCTGCGCGGGGCAGGCTGGGGCAATGCACACCCTGTCCGGCGCGGGGCAGGCCGGGGCAGGCCGGCAGCTCCAACCAATGCAGAGCGCCTGCTGAGTGCGTGACGTGTCCATTCTTTTGAAGATTGCTGCTCTCCGCTCACTACAGCCGTCGAATCTCGCAGGCATACAGTCTGATGAATGAACTGCTCTCAGAGTCGGCACAGCTGCCGTCGGCGCCCAAAGCCCCGGCCGGCAAGCGCAGCCCCGCCCAGAGCGGCCGGGCTCCGCGCAGGCGCGCCCAGCTCAGCCCGGTCCAGCGCTTCTGGGCTCAGTGCGGCCCCGCCCAGCGCAGCCCCGCGGCGGGCTCCCGACTGCTGCAGTGGTCTTCGCCACCGAGGTAACACGAGGCGCCGTGAGGCATTTTGCAAAATAACAGCAAGCCTTTGCTACCCCAGTTCAGTGTGCTCGCGTGCACCCTGCTTAGGAAATAGAGATTGACAGAGTCACTGAAGAAAAAGGCAAAAATGGCATTGAATTTCTAAGGAAGCTATAACAGCATTCATGCTCATGTGTGACTGTGACACCTGCTCAGTCCTTCGTTGTTGTCTTACTTCCTGTTGGGATTTGCTTCTACAATTTGCCTCCTAACTTCTCCTTGTTTCTCCATCTGTCTTCACCCTCGCAGGAACAGCCACTTGTGCACACACAAGCACACACACACCAGTGATGTCTGTCCACTTACAGATAAGATTGTTCAGGTCTTTATTATTGTACTGTTCACCTGAAGTGGGACTGGATGAGTAATCAGGTAGAATTTATTAAATTTAGAATATTACGGTACACAAGTGAAGAATTTCTTGCATGTGGCTAACAGACATGCAGTTATATCTGTTGGTGGACAATTCATATAGTAAACATGAATTGGTAGTACTGTGTTGCTAAGAATTACTATCTTTGACTTACAGTTATAAACACAATTATGTTAGTTAAGATCCTAAAAGTAATGCTGCCAACAAAACCCACACACCATCCGATCACTTGTGTGTAGTTTTGAATCTGCTGAAAATACTGACGGTTCCTTGGAGCCTTTTAAAAATAAAATGGAGTTAATTATCTAAGTAGCTGCCAAATATATATAGGATTAAATGAATAGATAACTAAAAAATTTCTTTGAAAAGAATTAATGAAACCAAGCACCAGTGGCTCATGCCTATAATCCTAAACTATGCAGGAGGCCTGAGATACGAAGGATGGAGGGTTGAGGCTAGGCCAGGCAGAACAATCCACCAGACTCTGTTTCCAAAAAGTAATCAGCAAAAAAGCTGGGTTAGAGGTGTGGCTCAAGTGGTAGAGCACTAGATGAGTGAGCAAGCAAGCTCAAGGTTCTGAGTTCAAAACCCAGTACCAGCAATGAATGAATGAATGAGTGGATGAGCTGGGGGTATGGCTCAAGGGGTACCTTGGACCTGCTTAGCCAGCATGAAGCCTTAGTTCAAACCCCTGTACTGTCATGTCCCTCCCCCCCAAAAATAAGGTTTAACATGGGAAGAATAATTGGTTGTGCTTCATAATGTGTTAAATATAACACAGATGTAAGGTAGAGAATAAGCAATGTCAAGTGAATGTCTTAAACCTGGACAATTTATGCTTTTTAAATCTTAAACTTTATCACTGATGAGAGAGATTTTAAGAGTGTAATAATTGTGTGATTTTCACTTTTAGGGAGAATCCACAGAAGCACAATTTCCCATTAAGTCATCATGCAAAAGTCAGACATGTGTCCAAGCCAGGTCTTTCGCATAGGAGGGAGCCTCTTGGGCAAGTTCAAGACTCCCCTCAGCTGCACGGTAAGACTCCAAGCTCTGTGACCTGTGGGTATGGGCCTATCCTCCTTGTGTCCAGGGTTGTGATTTTATTAGGAAAAACTGTAAAATCTTAAGGAAAATGAATTCTGATTTCAACAAAATGTAAGGAATTGACAGGTCATGTGGCTTGAACTCTGGGCCTGGGTGCTGTCCCTCAGTTTTTCAGCGCTCTACCACTTGAGCCACAGCACCACTCCAGTTTTCTGAATGGTTTATTGGGGATAAGAGTGTCTCGGACTTTCCTGCCGGGGCTGGCTTTAAACCATGATCCTCAGACCTCAGCCTCCTGAGTAGCTAGGAGTACTGGCGTGAGCCACCAGCAGTGTCTTAAAGGTCTGATATCCACATATAAGTGAAACATAGGAGACTTCGTTATTTGAGTATGGCTTGTCTCACACAATAGATACCCTTTAGTTGTATCCATTTTCCTGCAGATTATATAATTTCAGTTTAATGGCGACATAATTTTTTTTTATTTCAAAAATTATTTTTAAACTTAATTTTTATTATTACAAAGGTGATATCCAGAGGAGTTAGAGTTACATAAGTCAGATAAAAGAGTATAATGCCACTTCTTCCCTCACTTTCTCCCACTTTCCTTCCCATCCTCACCCACAAGTTGTGTATAGTTCATTTCCATCCTATTGTCCAGTAAGTACCACTGCTGTTTCTGTTCACCCTTTGTCCTACCATTTCTGTGCTCTCCTTTTTCCTCCCCCAGACAGATAAACCTCTTTTAGTTCTAATAGGTGTTTGTTTTGCTGTGCAGAAACTAATTTGAGGGACTGGTAAGGTGGCTCAGTGGTAGAGTGCTTGCCTTGCATGCATGAGGCCCTGGGTTCAATTCCTCAGCACCACATAAGCAGAAAAAGCCAGAAGTGGCACTGTAGCTCAAGTGATAGAGCATTAGCCTTCAGCTAAGAGCTGAGTGACAGGGCTGGGAAGGTGGCTCAGTGGTAGAGTGCTTGCCTTGCATGCCTGAGGCCCTGGGTTCGATTCCTCAGCACCACATAAGCAAAAAGAAAAAAGTGGCGCTGTGGCTCAAGTGGTAGAGCGCTAGCCTTGAGCTGAAGAGCTGAGGGACAGCGCCCAGGCCCAGAATTCAGGCTCCATGACCGACCAAAAAAGAAACTAATTTGACAGAGACCCCATTTGTCAATTCTTGCTCTCATTCTCTGAAATCTAGAGTCTTACACAGGAAAAATTTACTTGTGACTCTGTCTTCCAACATTTTTCCCATATTTCTCTGTGGAAGACTTTAAGATTCAGATCTTTCTGTAGTGAATTTTTTACAGGATTAAACAGAGAGGTCTTGTTTCAGTCCTCTGAAGTCGCCAGTTTTCCCAGTGCTATTTGTTGAAAAGAATGCCATTTCTCCATTGTGTACTTTTTGACTCCTTTCTCAAAATTAATTGACTATAGGTGTGGATCTTCTCTGTTTTTCCATTGGTCTTTGGGTCTGTTTTGTGTAGGTATCATGCAGTCATGGTACTCTCCGAGTGCTCTGAGTGCTTTTATTACTTAGAATTGCTTTTGCTATTTGGAGTCTTTTTGCTGTGAACTTTTTATGTGTGTGTGCATATGTGCCGGTCCTGGGGCTTAAACACGGGGCCTAGGTGCTATCCCTGAACTTCTAGGATAGCGCTCTACGACTTGATTCATTGAGCCACTTCCAGTTTTTTCTGAGTAGTTTTGTTGGCGGTGAGTCTCATGGGGACTTTTCTGCCCCGGCTGGCTTCGAACCCCAATCCTCAGATCTCAGCCTCCTGAGTAGTTAGGATTACAGGCGTGAGCCTGTGAGGAATGATCATGGGATTTTCATGGGTATTGCATTGAATTGAGTGCTCTTGGCAGCATGGCCATTTTCACAAGATTAATTCTGCCAGTTCCACATGGGATATCTATCTTCTGATGACTTCAGTTTCTTTCTTAATAGTTTTTTATTAAAGAGCTCTTTTACTTTCATTTGAAAAATGATCACATTTGTGCTCTTAGGCCACCCAGTCTCAAAGACTGCATGCTTTGTTTTGCTTTCTGAGCTAGTACCTATCAGACCCCTTCAACAAGCCAGGCCTGGTGAGCAGATTCAGAGCTGTCCTCAAAGAACATGCAGGATGATATGTGAAGAACCGAGGATGATCTGCAGGGACAAAAAGTGTTTTTACCTTTTCAGGGACTGCCACCTTCACCATACAGAAGAAAGCCGGGGCTGCCACGGCAGTGGAAAGGAAAGCTATACAGGTTCCAGTTGCCTCCCAGAAAGGTAAGAGATAAAGAATAGGTATTTCCTTAATTCAAGGCTAAATTTTAAATAATTCCAGGTCACATATAAATCTCAAGTATAGAATGGGATGGGAGAGTATGGCTGTGCGGCACAGTTGTCTAGAATCCTAAGCCTAGATTCTCTATTTTTTATTGATTTTTAAGTAAATACATAATAAATGTAGGTCATTATGTCTAGGTCATACTATGGCACTCACGTTGTCCCTAAAACAGTTGCAGCTGGATGTTTTCCTTGTATTGCTTGTAAAAGCTCCCGCAGTGCAGGCCTGTGTAGCTTGAAGGGGGCTGTGGTGAGGTCCAGTCCTCATCCACAGAAAGCCCTCGGTGCTGGCTTCATTGTCCACTAGGACATGGGTATGGGTAGGGGTAGGGGTATGGTATTGGTATTGGGCTTCACGTTTCTGGAACTCTAAAGTGAGCCATATACAAACTTTGCAATTTGAATATTAAGTAAAATGTGCTCATTCTGACTTTGATAGTAAAGTCACGATAAATGAACCAACGCATGAGTGAATGAATCAGTTCTAATACAGGGTTTGTTCTTTTCTCTCAAAAGGCGTTAGTATTCCATACTGTGGTCTGCACACAAAAATGCATGGTGGTGCCGATCCCACCCCTCAGGTGAAGGAGCCATGCCTGGAGGAGGAGGTGGTGAGTCCCTGGCCTGCACCTTCAGAAGTCCACAGGACTCTGCATGAGAGCCACAGTTCACTTCTACGAGTAAGCATTGTTCCAGGCCTCCGTGGGTCTAGTGATTGTCTTGTGTGCTACGGTGGTCTTGTTGTTGTTAAGACTTGAAAGTACAGAGCGTTAGGACAGTTTGAAAACGGTGGTTCAAACTATATCCACTCTTTTAGCTTAGCATTTATGTTTCAGAAATCTCCTTGACTTTATCTTTTCTTTTTAATTAAAAAACCGTAAACACTTGATATGTGTTTACGGTTTTCTCTGCAGTACTGCCTACAGAAGAGGCAGAGATGGGGAAGACTGTGGTTCAAGGCCAGCCAAGGCAGAAAGTTGGTGAGATACCACCTCAGTTGATAAAAGCCAGGTGTGGTGGCTCCCATCTGTCAGCCCACCTAAAGGGGAAGCCTAAACAGGAGCATTGTGGTCTAGGACACCCTGGCATAAACTTGAGACAATTGGAAAAGTAAAAGAAGAAAGAACCATGGACGTGGCTCAAATGGTACAGCTTCTGTCTAGCAAGCGCAAGGCCTTCAGCTTAGACCCCAGTATTACCAAGAATTAGTAAGTATGGGAATAACAAAACCGTAAGAACAGATCATCATTGCAAGAATCAAAACCCAGCCTGCCTCCCTTCAGATGCGTCAGGTGGGATGTAGCTCATTGTCAGTTTGGTTAGGATGTGCTGGGCAACCACAGCTTGCTTCCTCTCACATTTCCTTTAGGTCTTTGATGCTGAGCAATGGCCAAACCACAGCTATCTTTTCAATTCTCCAGGACTTGTTGCCATCTGAAGAGGAAGAGCCTGAGGCTCCTGCTGTGGGCGGCTTGGACAGCACATCGCGGAGCACCAGCAGTGTCCTCAGCAAACTGGACTGGAATGCCATTGAAGACATGGTGGCTGGAGTGGAGGACGAGGACCTGTCCGTCCACTGGGCCCAGGGCCTGTAAGCTGAGGACAGCGCAGCCACCCGCACAGGCCAGCCTCTCACTGATGTCTTCAGAAAGACTTGCGGGATTAAGGCGGTGACACAGTGAAGGGACTGGTGTGAATCCACCACCGGCAGCCAGAGTGTCACTCGGATCTCCATTTCAAGAAAGAGAAAACATTTCTCAGTAATTTTGCTGTTGAGGAACGGGTTGTTTAACTAGAGATGTATGTTTTCGGAGATGGCTTACCTTACACCTAATTTAAAATTGATGAGTACCTTTCAAGCCAAGTTTTCAGAATATTCAAACATTTGATTAAAAACCCTTTTCATCTTGACTTGTGGTTTATGATTCTCTGCGTTTTGAGAATGAACTTTTATGATAAACTCGATAGGAAAAAAAATTCTCTCATTGAGTAGAAAACTACAATCTCACTAAAAAACTCAAATTGTCCTACACTTGAGCAGAGCGTGCACAGGAGTGAAAGCAGCAGCAGCCATTTCACTCAAAGCGGAGCTTTGCAGTAATCCAGCTTCCAGCCAGCCACAGCTGTCCCAGTCTCCATCCAGGCCGCATCCACCCTGTTCTCTGTGACCTTTGGAATGTCCAGGCTGAATGCGTTGGGTAGAGGTGACAGCAAACCCAACTCCTGGCTCTAGAGGCCCATCTTAATCTTGTGAAAATCATGGTACAACAGCCTCTTAGTCTCTGGAACTGTACACAACACAGTTGTGTACAAGACCTTTCAGCCATTTACCAATTTTATCAATATGGCCATTTTCACAGCATTAATTCTGTCAGATAACAGTAAGTCAACAAGCTATTTGTAGTCCTTTGCCAACTGTCTGAATAAAGCCTGATTTTCTCCATATCCTTCAGCTAAAACAACTTCCTGCAACAAGCTGACTGCAAAGGCAGATGGGGAGTTTGACTGCCTTCCACTAAGCCACACGTTAGAACTGTAATTCAGTATCATTCAGTGCCATTCTTTTCACTCATTTTCTAGAGAACAGGTTTTTGGGGTTTTTTGTTTTTGTCAGTCGTGGGGCTTCAAGCCCAGAGTTCAACTCTGGGCTTGGGCGCTGTCCCTCAGCTCTTCAACTCAAGGCGAGCGCTCTACTGCTTGAGCCATGGTGCCACTTCGGGTTTTCTAGTGGTTTATTGGAGATAAGAGTCACGGACTTTCCTGCCCGGGCGGCTTTGAACCTCGATCCTCAGATCTGAGCCTCCTAAGTAGGTAGGATTACAGGTTTGAGCCACCGGCGTCCGGCCGAGAACAGTTTTTATAAAAATATGATGTCAACACTGAGCGGAGTCTTTTGAGATACATAAAAATTTCTTTGTTTTTCTGACATAAATATAGGAAGCTATATGCATGAATAAGAGCTCTATGGCTCTTAGTTGACTATGAAGAGAACATAGATGGAAAACTGCTTGTTTTAAGCTAGCAGTGTGACTCCTTAACCAGTCTATTGAGAGAGTATCGCATCATTCAATATCACATTCATTTCACACTTCTTCACACTTCATACCGTAACTAAAACCTTTTCCACAGGATAATCCCTTTTACCTGCTCATCAGAGTTCTGCTTTAAATATTTATTTTCCTTTTAAGGAAATTAAAATTTTGTGTTTTTTCACTTCCTACAGATCCAAGTTTTTGTCTAATATTTCAGCTTGAAGAAAATTAGCCCAGGGCTTCAGAAATGCTAACTAGGCAAGGCTTCCAACCCAGTCTGACTTTTCTTTTTGATTGGGAGATTTAAAAAACCTAGAGTTTACCCAGCTAGGCAAGTGCTCTACCACTGAACTAAAAGCACCAGACTTTCTTTCTCAGCACTTTCTCAGCTGGTACTCTACTGCTTTAGCCAGGCCTCCAGCCTGATTTTGCTGGTTATGTTGAAGATGAAATCTCATCAATCTTAATACCTCAGACTCCTAAGTAGATCACGTTACAGGCCTGGGCCACTTACACTTTTCCCCTAGTTTTTCTACTTGAAACTTGATTTTGCCTCGGCCGGCCTTAGGTTTGAGATCCTCTTAACTTCCTCAACAGTTGGGATGATAGCTATGTATCATCACGTCTGGCTGACCACTAGAATTTCATTTTTTGTGGTGGTTTTGTTTTTTACTGTACTAAGGTTTTGAACTTAGGGCACTGTGCTTATTAAGCAGACGCTCTTACTACTAACCCAACTTCCAGCTCTAATTTTTGGTTGATATTTTTGAAGGCCTTTCCTGCCCAGATTGGCTTTAAAACTGTGAGCCTCAGATCTCAGCCTACTGACAATCTAGGATGATGACAGGCAGGAGCCTCCAGTGCCCAGCTCAAGCCTTAGTTAAAAAAAAATATTTAGAAATGACTGGTGTCAGGCACTGGTGGCTTATGCCTGTAATGCTAGCAACTCAGAGGCTGAGACCTGAGATCACAGTTCAAAGCCAGCCCAGGCAAGAAAATTCATGAGACTCAACTCTAAATAACTCCAGATGCCACAAGTGGTATTGTGGCTAGAAGAGGTAGAGTGCTAGCTTTGAATGAAAAAGCTCAGGGACAACTCCCAGGCCCTGAGTTCAAGCCCCATCACCAACCAAAACACAAACAGAGGGAGCATTGCCGGTTCACACATACCATCCTAGATACTCAGGAGGCTAAGATCTGAGGATGGAGCTTCAAAGCCAGCCCATGCAGGCAACTCTGAGTCTCATCTCCAATTATTAGCCCAAAGCTGAAGCTGGAGGCATGGCTCAAGTGTAGAGTGCCAGGCATGAGAGAAAAAGCTTAGAGTTTGAGGCCCTACGTTCAAGCCCAAGCACTGGCAGAAAAGTGTTAATATTTTGTATTCCTTTTCAAGGGAAAGGAAATCAATGCAAATAAAAATGGAAAGAAGATACTACTAGATGAAACAACATAGAGCAGACAGTCCAATATAAAGGAACTTCTATTTGGGAAGGAAGACTTGTAATCCTTAACACCGAAGTACGGTGGTTGCGCCATCCTGGTGCCTAAGCAGGAGATGGGGAGCCATTCACCCAGTTCCAAAGCCAGAGGTGCGACAAGCCATCCTCTGAAAGGCAGATGCCTAGCTCAAGGTGAGCTAGGAGGGCTCGGCTTCAGAGAAGTACAGATGTTATCTTGTTTTTATGGTGGGGGATGGTAACACCTCCCACCTCCTGCCAGGTGATGGGCATACCTGAATCCCTGGAGATGGGCCCGCAGTTGGCTGATAGGTTACTGAACCTGTCAGTCCAGTGCCTGGGACTGGGAGTGTCCTGTAACCTGGCCACCTGGCGTGCCACTGTTTAGGCATGGAACAGCATAGGTGTGAGGACGCCAGGCCACGTGTGTCTCTGTGACTGTGTCCTGTGTCCTGTCATCATGGCATCTAATTCAGCTCTCCAGTGGAGCTGAATTACAGACTGTTAGTATTGTTTTGCTTCTTTCTTTCCTCTTTAGCATGTTTCCTAGCTGTGTTCTGTGTATTTGGGAGCTGCAGTTCTTTGGTAAAATGGGCCGCCTGCGGCCTGCTAACTGTATAATAAAGACACCAAAATTCCATCTTCCAAAGTATGGCATTGCTGATATTGCACCCTATAACAACACAAAGACACTTGCTAGGATGGCCTTTGCCTGTCCAGAGAACAAAGGACAGGTAGAGAAATCTAGGCACGGGAGGCATAGGAAAGCTGTGATTGGCAAGCATCAGCAGTTACACTGGAAAGCTAGTACAAGGACAGCCGTTTCATGCAGTTGCCAGAGATAAAGAATTCTAGCTTTAAAGAGAGATAATAGGAGCTGCTCACAAGACTTTCCCTGCATGGTCCTTGGCTCCATGGCTCTTGTAAGACTTTTATTCATATGTTTGGTTTCCATACTATTCACCGCAGCTGCCACTTCTCTGTCTGTAACCTCTGTGCAACAAATTCCTCGCCACATTGGCCCAGGCAGGATGCCAGCTTCCTGACCAAGCACCTCAGAGCAGAGACCAGCACTCCAGGCCATGGCCCGAGGTGCACTCCCCCCTTCCAGTCTCCTAAAGAAGGTTTTACTGTACCACAGTCTTCCCATTGGTCCACACTGCTGTCTGGCGGCAATGTAATATGAACTTCATGGTCTGCAAAGCTGAAACATGTATTTCCTGGCTTTACAGAAAAAGACTTTCTGACCACTGCTCCCAAGAAGAGCCCAGGGGAGAAACCTAGACACTCTACTGTTCAATAAGCTTTTTAGTACTGTGTTCGAATACTTAAATGGTCAGTTAGGCTAACTGGAGAAAACCCACATCCCTGACAGGAAGAACCCAAATCACACAGGTGAAGGGTCAGGGGTAAGGCTTCATGGTAGAGTGCCTGCCTAGCAAGAGACAAATAGAAGACGTGATTCTTATTTTAAATGAATTATTTTTATCATAATTTTATTATCTTTAAATACAAAGGAATTACAACATATTGAGCAGTGTCACCCCTGTCAACATTCTCACCCACCCCTCCCCTACTCACCCTTGTTTATTTAAGTAGTTATGCATAGTTTCCATTCCACAAATTAGTTTATCAAGATAATGTATCTTGGTTGATGTTAAAAAACAAAAATAATTTGGTGTACTCAGAAAATGGCAAGAATAACTCTTTTTTAAACCTATGGCACTGTATCTGTGGGAATACGTATTTATATTTCTTTTTTTTTTTTTTAGGTCCAGTAGTGGGGCCTGAACTCTGGGCCTGGGCGCTGTCCCTCAGCTTTTCAGCTCAAGGCTAGCGCTCTACCACTAGAGCCACAGTGCCACTTCCGGCTTTTTTCTTTTTGCTTATGTGGTGCTGAGGAATCAAACCCAGGGCCTCAGGCATGCAAGGCAAACGCTTTACCACTGAGCCACCTTTCCAGCCCCATGTATTTATATTTCTAATTGGTGAGATAAACGTTACTTCCCTTCGATTGTACTTCTATAGGATAATGAGTAAAACCTCTGCATTAAAAACTAGACATTTAGCTGGGCCCCGGTGGCTCACCTGTAATCCTAGCTACTCAGGAGGCTGAAATTTGAGGATTGAAGCCAGCTTGGGTAGAAAAGTCCTGTGAGAATATTATCTCCAACTAACCACTCAACAACTGCAAACGTCCCTGTGGCTCAAATGATAGAGTGCTAGCCTTGAGCACAAACAGGCTCAGGAAAGCCAGGCACTGGTGGTTCATGCCTGTAATTGTAGCTACTCAGGAGGCTGACATCTGAGGATCATGGTTCAAAAGCAGCCTAGGCAGGAAAATCCATGAGACTCTTATCTCCAATTAACTACCAGAACACCAAAATGGTGCTGTGACTCAAGTGGTAG